TGAGCTTATTGGAAAAGAGAGCGTGACTACCCACAAGTACAGTCAATGGACACTCTATTATCCTCTGTTGTTAGGACCCTGAATATACACAGCACAACAAGAACACAAGCTCCCAATTCTATGAAGAGCTGCCCACCCAAGACATAGGCAGCAAGGATCCAGGGAGGTCTGACCTGCGTTATGTCAGAGGAGGCCAAGATGGGCACAAGGAACAGTATTCTCCAAAGGTTCTGCGTTCCTTGTGCATTAATTAGGTATTTAAATACAGAAGAAAAACCTAAGTGCCGTCATCATTTACTGCCATCAATGGCGGAGTTGCAGGGCGGCACTTTGGCTTTCAAGCCCATACTGCACCATGCGCTAAGCCCTTTGAAAGAAAGAAAATGCTGCTTACAATATTTATCCTTATATATCAATGTCAGCATTAAGCTCCGATCAGTCACTTTCCTAATCAACCCTGTTTATATTCCGTGTCACTAAGCAATTTTTCACCCTGAAACATATAATCGCTCTCAGACGTGACCTACTTTTTATCCGCAGCACCCGTTGCAGTGATCCCTTGTGACAAAGAGACCCTGTTACAAATATTAAACACTCCTTAATATCTCTTCTTAGCCAAGTAACAGATCTGGTTACCAAATGACTCCGGGAAAAGGGAAGAGGAGGGGGGGGCCTCTATTTATACCCAGCTTTAAACAACTGAAGTGGCACAAAAGGGATGTTGATTGTTCCATTGGCCTGATTTATACACTCCTTTAGAAGGCCCTAATGAATAATTCACAGTTATCATTTAGACAGGATTCCTAGTTTTCTGATGTTTTCCTCTGGCCTTTCAAGAATTCCCGGTCACCCCATTGATGGGGGGATCTCGGATGAAGAGGCATGAATGAAAGGCAAAGCATAGAAAAACCCACAACAAGAGAGGTGGCTCTATGCTCTTCTGCTGTCAGCTTGATAAATATAATGTGTCACCAATTAAAACCTCATTGCCTTTCTCCGATTCACTCATCGCCTTGTTAACGATTACTTAGTGGGGTAGCTCTTGTGGTTTGCCCAGTTCTACTATCATTGTCAGCGGAACAGGGGGTTGCCTTTTCCCATCCGATACAATTTCAGGCTGCCTCATTTGCATGTAAATAAGTTATTCACTGCACATCACTATCTAATAGAAAAATGACCAGAAAACGCTTTGATTTCTACTTTTTTTTTTTCTCTCAGTTTGCTGTCAAGGGGAAACAATTAAATCAATAGTTTCATTTTTTTCTTCACCCCCTACGTTTCAAGGACTTTGGGGGCATTCTTATGGAAATGCCCAAGAATTGACTTATGTGTGGGAAGTGTTGACTGACCTCGGTAAAAAAAAAAAAAAAAAAAACTCAAGTGGTATAGTCATGTGATCATGCATATACACACTTTTGTCTCTGGATTTATAGCGGTGATGTAAGGCATTCTCCCGGTAATGTGAGATAAAGGATGAACGGAAAGTAGCCACATATTTACGCATCCATGTGTACTGGTGCGTGAAGTCCAGTTCAAAAGTGAAGACCAAGAAATGAAGGGCATGCAAGGGTCACTCATATTCAGCTAGAAATGTTTATTATTGGGTTTGACATTTACTTTGATTAAAAAAGATTTCATAGAAATAAGCAAGTGATTGTTTAATATAAAACATGGAAATTATATTGACTTTAATGAAGTCTGGAGTTAGCAGGATACTAAAAATTATGCAAGTATTTGTATTTTCTAAGACCGCAATGACTAGGTGGGTGGACAGAATGAATGCTGATACAAGCCGACACTACAGGTGGTTTTTAGTAGAACCACAATGCTGCTAAAATCATCTAGCTAACAAGTGGATACAATTGTTTCCTATGGTGTAGGCCACAAAAAGAGCATCTAGTAATAATGAATTACACATGACTGCACAGTGCTGCAACTGTGTTGATTTAAAGTGATTCTAAAGGTTGAATTTAAAAAGCAAACAAACATGTCATACTTACCCACTCCGTGCAATGGTTTTGCACAGATCCTGGCTCCTCCCTCCTGTTGAGTTTCCCCAATAGCAAGCCTCTTGCTATGAGGGCACTTGAGCAGGTTTGCTCCGGAGCCACGCTCCTCTAAATGGACATCGTTCATTCACATGCAGGGCGTGACTTGGCCCTGCCCCCCATTCTGTCTTCATGGGCTCACTGGCTGTGACTGACAGCAGCAGGAGCCAATGGATCCCACTGTTGTCAGAGCCAATGAGGATATAGAGACACAGCTCTCATGCACATCACTGGATTAAGATGGGTCTCAGGTAAGTATAAGGGGGGGGGGGCTGAGGGGGGAGCTGCACCCGGTAGGTTAGAATGCATGAAGGTAAAAACAAAATCTGCCTTTAGAACAACTTTACTGATATTTGTATAGCTTATACCTTACACCATTAGTTAGCAATCATATAGCGTAGGATTTAAAACCAAACTGAAGTCACAGAAATAGACATGCTGTCAGATAGACATTGCAGTAACAGCATCTATTTTTTATGGTCATACTTCCACGTACCTGTTACATCAGTTATACAGGGAATATAAATATGACTGTGCAGCCCAGTAGGCAGCATATTTAGACCCAAGTGCTCTTAATAATCAGCACTCAGTAACAGAACTGGTCTGCTTTAAACCCCCTCCCCTTCTATACATGATAAGTCTGTGGGAGGGCATGTGGCTATGCACTGGAGTCAGAGAAAAGCACAGGGTACTGGAGCCAGAGAAAAGAAAGCAGCATTTTTACCATAAGAAATGGGTATTTTAAGGCATTTGCAAGCAAAAATCTGTCACAATTAAAGTGCTTTAAACCTCCAACATAAAAAATGAACAAAATACATCCCTCTATAATGTGTACTTGTCTCAATTCAAAGCACACAGTGTAATTTCTCTCTGCTCCCTCTTCCCTTTGCAATATGAATGACTCACTCCCGATAGGTTAAGCCAACTCCATTGCATCATGAGTGATCCTCCCCCACCCCCCAGCACACTTAGTTCTGTATGTTTCTCTGTGAGCCTGTATACAGGGGGAGTGTCTATTCCCTCCACTCAGATCTCAGATTACAGAGAGCTCTGTGCTCTAACTATGCAGTGTGTGTGATGTCAGGTCCCTGCCCCCTGACTTGTGTTGCTGAGAAAAATGCTTTGATCTGTGTACTGTGAACTGATGAGGAGAGAGAGATGCGGATAAACAGGTACAACTAATGTAAGAGGATTTGTTTAATTTCTGTTTATCATCTGAGACTTGCCACTTCACTGGGTGCATATAAAGGTTACAGTCACTTTAATAACATGGGTGAAAAGGGCAATACAAACTTCAAATGAATGTGCTGACTATACAGTAATAACATTTTAATATTTTTATGGTGTGTATCGGTATAACATTATTGGTAACATTTTTGTTAACATTGGTAATATTATTGGTAATATTTGTGCGTTGTTGTAATATGTTGTGCATTGTGTAATATTTTTATGGTTTGTATTAATTTCAAATACTGTAAGCTGAAACTCACAGTGGGAGTAAAATCTATATCTTGGGATGTTTCGGATAAAATGCTTGCGTTATAGGAAAAAAGGAGTGCAAAACCAATGTCTCAGGGTCAAAAGTATTTATTTCATCTTTTAGTAGAATTCCAACTTAAGCCTAACTAGTCTTTAAAATGCTCCCTTTCCCGCTTCTAGCGCCTATTCTAACTAACCTGTGTAAAAAAGCTGCATATACCTACCTATTTTCAGCCCACTCCAGTCAGGTCAGATGATCCAGCTTCCCTATGCCAGTCAGCGGCATCTGCAGGGGAGGGAAAGGATTGCCAATAACAGCTATACCATGGGAACCTATGGGTGACTTCATCACTCCCAGCTTTCCCAGCTATTGTCAGGTGCTCTTCACCTGCAGCTGTAGCTGGTTGACACAAGGGGGTTTAATTACTAAAGCTGGAGAGTCCAAAATCAGACTCCCTTCTGCATAGAAACCAATCAGCTTCTAACCTCAGCTTGTTCAATGAAGCTTTGGCAATGAAACCTGGAAGCTGATTGGTTTCTATGCAGAAGGGAGTCTGATTTTGGACTCTCCAGCTTTAGTAAATAAACCCCAAGGGATCATGTGACCGGACCATAGTGGGCTGGAAATAGGTAACTATATATTCTTTTTACACAAGTTAGCTGGTATAGGTGTTAGGAGGGGGTGAGAGCATTTTCGAGACTAGTTAGGCTTTAGCTGGAATTCTGTTTTAAAAATCCAAAAGAACAATAAAACATGTTTCAGGGGTTCACCAGGGTTGTAATGTACTGAGTGGGACGGAAGATGAAATGATTTTCTTGTCTGCCAACCTGCTCTGGTATCCCTTTTTACAGTAAGATTCACCCCACCCTCTCCAAGTGAAAGAGTCTCTTTAATAAATATAATCCTTTTTCTGTGATGGGTTTTTCCATTCAAAAAGAAAGTTGGAAACCACCCTGACATTCAGGAACATACTGATTCTGGAAGCCCCCTGATTAGCTTTGCAGTTGGTAGAGATCTAGATGTTCTCCTTTGGTGCCCCTGCTCAGAAACGTTAAAATAATTGGGTTACAGTGTGAGAACTGTACCCCCAAAAACCTATTAGGGCAGAATTATCAAGAGGTTTATACCAAATGTATATTGCAGAAAAATGGCTGAATTATGAGTAGACTTCTACTGTTAGTACCTTTACTTGTATATTGAGTGGGCACAAGTTTGGGCAGTGAATTAGCATGAATTTTGTGCAAAGTTTTCTGCTCAGCTAGTCCTTGACATGTTATATTTTAACCAGGTGTAGCTCTTATTTTAAAGATCAACTGAAGTCAAAACTTTTTTTTTTTAGTTTTGTATAACGTAGAGAAGGGTTAGAACATACACTATATTGCCAAAAGTATTAGGACACCCCTCCAAATCATTGGATTCAGGTGTTCCAATCACCTCCATGCCCACAGGTATATAAAATCAAGCACCTAGGCATGCAGACTGCTTTTACAAACATTTATGAAAGAATGGGTCGCTCTAAGGAGCTTAGTGAATTCAAGCATGATAAAGTAATAGATTGCCACCTGTGCAATAAGTCCATCCATAAAATCTCCTTGCTACTAAATATTTCACGGTCAACTGTTAGTGGTATTATAACAAAGTGGAAGCAACTGGGAACAACAGCAACTAAATCACGAAGTGTTAGGCCACGTAAAATGACAGAGAGGGGTCAGCGCATGCTGAAGCGCACAGTGCGTAGTCAATAGTTAAAAACCTCCAAACTTTGTGTGGCCTTCAGATTAGCACAACAACAGTAGAGAGTTTCATGGAATGGGTTTCCATGGCTGAGCAGCTGCATCCCAGCCTTACATCACCAAGTGCAATGCAAAGCGTTGGATGCAATGGTGTAAAGCACTGCGCCACTGGACTCTAGAGCAGTTTAAACGTGTTCTCTGGAGTGACAAATCACGCTTCTCTGTGTGGCAATCCGATGGACGTGTCTGGGTTTGGCGGTTGCCAGGAGAACGATACTTGCCTGACTGCATTGCGCCAAGTGTAAAGTTTGGTGGAGGGGGGAATATGGTGTGGAGTTGATTTTCAGGGCTTGGGCTTTGCCCCTTAGTTCCAGTGAAGGGAACTCTTAAGGCGTCAGCATACCAAGACATTTTGGACAATTTCATACTCCCAACTTTGTGGGAACAGTTTGGGGATGGCCCCCTCCCTGTTCCAAAATGACTGGGCACCAGTGCACAAAGAGAGATCCATAAAGACCTGGATGAGGGAATTTGAGGTGGAGGAACTTGACTGGCCTGCACAGAGTCCTGACCTCAACCTGATAGAACACCTTTGGGCTGAATTAGAGTGGAGACTGCGAGCCAGGCCTTCTTGTCTGACATCAGTGTCTGACCTCACAAATGCGCTTCTGGAAGAATGGTCAAACATTCCCATAGACACACTCTTAAACCTGGTGGACAGCCTTCCCAGAAGAGTTGAAGCTGTTATAGCCAGCTCAATATTGAACCCTACGGACTAAGACTGGGATACCATCAAAGTTCATGTGTGTGTAAAGACAGGTGTCCCAATAATTTTGTCAATATACTGTATGTCAGGTTTTCATAGTTGTCCTTTGCCCTATTGGGGATAGTTCCCTGTTAGTGCCTGCTTTACTGCGAAGGTGTCAGATTGCCTACAGGCCTTTGGTGCACATATAAAGCAAATTTCTAGCTCTTGTAAATAATGGGGAATATATTTCAATGAAAGTTTTTGTTCCTGGATTTCAACTTTAGAACGTCTGCAGCTATCATTTAATGAGAACATCTCAGATTCTAAAACAATCCTAATGGCACTTCCCTACAACAGAAGAGTTAGCATTCCCACCTCTCCCATGTCACCTACCTTCCCTCCACACCAGTAATACTCTATATAATTTACCATTTCTGGATGTGTCAGATACCTGTGTCCCCTGTTGCACGCTCTGGTTCTTTCCTCTGATCCCGATATAACTGCTATCTCCTTTAGTGACGTAAGAGTCTGAGTAAGGAATCAAAACACAAAACAAACTTTTCAATTGTAATCTCCCCCCCACCTCCAATTTTTGAAGAAGCTGATTTTTTAAAATGTTGTAGATGAGAGTAATGTGTCCCTGTTCCTGCAGCTACTGGGAATATCCATGTCACATATCCCAGGTAGCTACAGGGACACACAGCAGTTGGAGGGTGGACCTGGCATGCAACTTGCTCTTACTCCAAAACAGACAGCTGGATGCTATTGTCGTAGGTAGTAGGTGGCTGTCTAGGACACAGCGCTTGGCTGCGGAGCTGTAGATTGCAGCAGGACAATGTGAGGTGCACCCAGTGTGTAAGTTTGTTATTTAAATACAATACTACAAAAAGGTAAAGAGGTTAGGAAAAATAAGCAAGGTGGGGGGTAAAGTTTCTAAGTATTTTTGAGTGACATCTAGAAAAAGCTTTCTGTAAATGGGTGTCACAAATGTGTCAATATTCCTTATCTCTATACATATTCTGGTTTAGCGTCTCAGCCAGCATTGAAGTTGATGCATCACCATGAAAGTTGGGGAACTAGCACTCTCAAAAGGAGAGTTCAGCAATGGTGGCCTCCATAATCCCTTGTGATACAGCCCTTTAAAGTATTAAACCTCTTTATCGAATGGTTGAAGGTTTGCTTATTAACATGGAGATACTGGGGGCAGGGGCGGACTGACCATTTGGAAACCCGGGCACTGCCCGAGGGCCCGGGGTCGGTAGGGGGCCCCATGAGATGCCCCTGGTACCTTTTTCATAGGCTTTTTTGAGTTTGGGAAAGGACACAGGGGCCCCATGATTCCCTATTGCCCGGGGGCCCCATGGGTTGTCAGTCCACCCCTGACCGGGGGTATTTACTAAAACTACATGGTGCAAAATCTGGTGCAGCTGTGCACAGAAACCAATCAGCTTCCAGGTTTTATTGTCAAAGCTTAACTGAACAAGCTGAAGTTAGAAGCTGATTGGCTACCATGCACAGCTACACCAGATTCTGAGTGCACAAGTTTTAGTAACTCCCCTCTCCCCACCCCCCCACCACCCCCCCACACCGGGTCTTGATCAGTGCCATTTTTTTCTCCAAACAAAATTACAGGCGGAGGTAAAAAAAAGAGTTGTGTACATGTGTGGAAAAGGTGAAAAAGTTCAGCCCCAAGCACCTAAATTATATGTGTATGTTTGTCTTCCATCTCATTTTGTTATAGTTCTGTTATCTGTTTTGCATCTGAATATGTACTTTTCATGTTCATTTCTGTACACCTTTGAGACTGCTGTACAGAATGACTTATTCCATTTTAAGACTTCCTTCCAAATCTGTTTTTCTGCTATTTTGATGTACAGATTCCCATCATACCCTAGCCATCTGTTCATTGTAAAAAGTGTCAGCCAGCACACAGACTACGTCTAAGCTATTTTACATATTTGGGTCAATATCCCTTAGACCTATCCCAATAATACTAATAGCTGGTGTGTCTGAAAGCAGCCAATATGGATACATTTACCTGTTTGTCTGAAAGCCTAAAAATAAAAATATGCTAACTACTAAAATTCTCATGGAAATAATATATTTTACAAACTAAGAAATCTAATGGAAAAAGGAATCCCTATATTAGCATCCACTCGTATATCAGAGGAGGGAAAAGTAATTAATCATTTATTCCTATGGGATCACTCATTGTGTATTTTGAGAGGCAGCGCACAGATCAGGAATGTTGCAATGAGAATTTTTCATCCATAGTGCATTTCTACAAGTGTCATTGAAAAGAATTTCATAGGGATCAATGATTAATGACCTCCGTACCCTTCTCTGTGTCAGGTTTTTACTCAGGTCCTATTGACAAAACTGAACTAATAGAGAATATACAGCAGAGTGAATGAGCCACCAGGGAAAGCAATTGTGTTTTGCTCGATAACAGGACTGTGCTTATATTTCTGTTTGTCTCAACAAAAGTGCTGGCTCAGCAGAAGTGCACACATTCGAGGCTATTCATTAAACTAACAACAGGAATTTACAAGGACATTAAACACATTTACATATATTGAAGTGGCAGGCGGCTTATGGAGAAATACTTAAGAAAAAAAAACTTAATTTTTTTCACAAGCAAAATATATATACAGTATATACGTGGGCTGAATTAGTCTTTGCCTTTTATATCTAATAGATATCCAGCAGCAATAACTACTCCTTGCCCAACTCACTCGTCTTTGCTGCTGCGATGGAGGTACACCTTCTCAGTTGGATTTCCATTTTATTTACAATATGGAGAATAAATGTAGCAAAATAAAAGCATTATAGTAGACTTACATAGACAGTTGGACATTAATGCAACATTCAATCTCCTCTTAAAGCAGAACTTCACTCTTTCAATCAACTTTGACTATTTGTAATCCTTATTCCTCTAGCATCTGTAAATAGATAGGAAATTACACTATATGCACTTGTTTTAAAACTTTTTTTTTACATTTATTTGGTTAATTCTTGCTTTTTAGGCCTAAGCAAATGATGCCATACATCCCAGGAGTATTCAGGAGGAGGGTAGGAGGGGTTTTCCCAGCTAAGCACACCCTCCTGCCTGAGCTAAGAGCAGATGGATCTCAGGAGGTAAATGCAACATGAATCATCCGCTCTTACTCAAGACAGACAGAAATGTTTGGAGGTGTTTTTCAAAGTGATTTCTCAACTAAACAAAGCATGGATACATGGATGGATGGGGGAGATCACTTTTAATATTAAAAATCATTAAATAGTGTTTTTGGTTTGTGGCGCTGAGATGCAGTATAGTTCCACTTTAAAGCCCATATCTGGGCACATAAAAAAAATTATCCTTGTAGTCCCTTCCCCCCCCCCCCCCCCAACACTGCAAGGGTTACATGCTCGTAAAGCCGAATAAAGTCCATTGATTTAACTAATTCCCAAAACAGTTACATTCAAGACATGCTGTGAAGGTTATTTCTCTTGATTTTGGCCATAGTTACACTTTAAGTGTTTTCTAAAGCAGTTACATTCGAGGCATGCAGTTAATGATAAGTGTTACAGTTATTGGTGTGCTTTTTCCCACTCTCAACCATACTGTCAAGCCATGAAATGGCTGATTTAATAGTTGATCACATGTGCCACACACAAGATGGCATTCCTTGTTGTAAAGGTTATGAAGGTTTAGTTCTGCTTTAAGTCTAGGGATAGAGTAATAAAGTGCAATACTTACCTTATTCCTCATTCTGGCAAGCTCCCTTTATCTGTGACCATTCCCCCAAAGCCTCCTCTCTAAGGCACTCTGGTCTGCAGTTGCACCCTTACCTCCTTACATACAATACGTATATCTTTACATTTACATTTTTGTAAGTTAGTTGTAGCCCCTGCTGCCTGCAGCCTCCTGGGACACTCACATGAGGCATCCCAGGAGGCTTCAGAGCAATCTCCCCCAGACTGCGCATGCATTATATACCACACTGCTCATGCGCTGCAGTCAGTCATCATGGGGCTGGCTGTAAAACCAGGTAGAGACAACTGACCCCCTAATGACAAAAGAAGAGAAAATGGCTGTTTGAAACCCAGTCCATAGCCGTGGATCAGCAGATTATATTAAACAATGCAGGATCATGAGTATGTTTGCTGAGCACAACCCAGCAGACAAGGTAAAAGTGAAGAAACAAAAGTACAGGAGAAGTGAAGTTCCTCTATCAGTTTTTGATGCACTGACCCTTTAAAAAAACAGCGATTACATACGGAATGCAGGCAAAAGCATATATAGCAGGGGTGCCAAACTGGCGTCCCTCCAGCTGTTGCAAAACTACAAGTCCCATCATGCCTCTGCCTTTGGGAGTCATGCTTGTAACTATCAGCCTTACAATGCCTCATGGGACTTGTAGTTTGGCAACAGCTGGAGGGCCTCCAGTTTGACACCCGTGATATATAGCATAGGGGGCAATGACCAAACCAAGAACTGGTCAGACACGTAGCAAGACTATTATAAAAAAAATGAAGATGTATTCCTTTTTTAGTGGGAACTGCCATCTCAATAAATTCTCATTTAAGGGTCAGGAAAAGGCCGGGAGGGCCCCCCTGCCTAACAGGAGCTTCACAGTAGCATAAACAGCAAAATGAATATTGTCTACAACATATGAATGCAAACTGAAAAAA